CTTTAAATTATTTTACGAAAAGACGATAACCATTCGTTTTTTTAACTGAACTTTTTTTTCTAAATGATAGACCGTATTCCATATGTTTAGAATACCCTGTATAGTACACACATACTGAACCTACTAACATTTATGTCATTTCTAAAATGAAATTGCATCTTTTACGTTAATTTGAAATCGATTTATTTATTTTGTTCTACAATCGTCATGTCTCATTTGTTACAGTGTTTTTACAACAAGAAACAAATGTTAAAAAGAAATGCAGTATAGGTGTAATTATTGTTACCAGGTTATCTTATTTCGTTCGTAAAAAAAGGTCTTTACTATGTAACATTGTTTTCTATGTAAACTGCTTAAAAGCTCAGTTTGCAAAGAAATATTCAAGGTTGTGCACTTAGTATTATTATTAATTATCATAAATAATTTTATTTAATTAACAACGCAGTCCTAAATATTGTAAATTGTATTTTGTTTGCTTTTATTTAAATTGCGCCAGATTCGATTGCATTTTTATTAAGCGTATTAGAATATATTTTTCGGCTATTATGCGATAGATAATTTTTCCGATATATTTGAACATTATTATAGTTTTTTAATCGTTGTTGTGTTCGACCCTTATTATAGAAGCATAAAATATATTATATACTTACTTATTATGTACAAATAGTGAAGTTAACAGTGTATATTTTGAATAGTTTGTTCTAATTTTACCGTTAACAGGTGATGGTGCTGAATACTAGGATGTAAATACGAAATGAACGCAGACATTCCTAAAAAAGTATTATTAGATTTAATTTATTTTCCAAGTTCCTCTTTTGTTTATTATTAGTTGATTTAATTTAAGCTACTCAATAATTATTTATGTGCGTTAAATATACAGGGCGAACGAAAATACAATTCCATTACATATCCAAAAACATTTTCGCAAAAGCTCTAGATAGAGGTAGTTGTGAATCTCATGAACCTCGGTTTAGGGTTGCGCACTAACAAAACTCCGCCCGCTCATTCATTTCTACAATTTCTACCACCTAGTAAGATTTGCCATCATTGTGTCGCAAGGCACATGATTACCGGTCGAATAAATTTTTTTGTAACAACCATGTAAATTACGAATGCGACAGCCCGCCCGTTACGCATGTAAAGGCTCCTGAGATTTTGAAATACCGCTACGTAAAATTTAGTTACATTGTTTTTGGAACATACTAAATATTTAAGACGTAAATATACCGAGCGTTTCTTTTGTTTGAGCATCTTCACATACTCACAATTACCTACCAAGTTTTTATTTTTGATCGCCCTGTATCTTTACTTCTACACACGGACAATATCGTTTTCGGTTTTTCAAAGGAATGCAGGGTACTCATTGTTTTCGACAATTTAATTAAATTCCAACTACTCACGAATCAATAATACTCGGTCGATTTTTTTTACCATGCAGAAATCTTAGTATTCGCGTGGTCACGAAATTTAAGCCCATGTCAAAGAACAGGAGGAATGAATAAGATACAAATAACGTACAAAAAAAAGTCTTTCGTTTACCATTAAAAACCTCATTTGTTTTTAGATTACGCATTTTGGACTAACGATTTTGTTTATTGTTATCATTTTTGTTTCGTGTTTCGAAAAAAGAAAAAACAAAGAAACAAAGTGTATCATCATTCAAATGATTTTGTTCTTTGGTACTGGACGTTTGATAAAAACATTGTGTAGATTTGGGCATCTAAAATTAAGTGTAAATTTAGAGTTAATAACAAAAAATCAAGGAACGCAGCCCTGGCATTTCTGTATAAATTAATGTTATTATTAACCGCCCTTCCCCATCAAAGGGAGGCGGCTTGTAAAGTTAGTTAAGATTGTAAACAAATTCCAACAAGAGTGTTTTTCATTTGACACCTCGTACACGCTCCGAAAGCTGTCCACTTGCGAACAAACGTAAAACTGATTTTTTTAAACACATTTCTTGGTGCCTTGATAGTGGTGGCCGTTATCATAATATGTCGATTGTTTTTTGAAAAAATACTTTTTCATTTCTAAAGACCTAAATAAGTCTTTCATGTACTGATTTTTGCTGAAAAATCAAGTCCGACAAGCAACCCGAACCCAGAGCTAAAGAAATCCAACCAAAAGAAAAGTTTTCTCTACCATTGCAATGAACAATAAGAAGGACAACACTCACTTAGATCGTATCGTCTTTTCCTACAGTAATCTAACCGTTATCTTAAGTGATTACTTAGTATCATAAGATTACGTTGAGAAAAAAATGATAACGTGTCGATTAACTTGTTTGTAGCAGTGTGAACAAAAAGAAACTGATTTTTGATTGATTTTTTAAAACCTCCAAAACTAAATTCTAAATTTCACTTCCAACAGTTAAAATTAAATGTTATGTTTAATATTTATTATAATACAATCAGTACATAAAAGAAAACTTTTGGCCATTAATGTTTTGGTCGCGTGATTACAGAATGATTTTTATTTACAATAAATTGCTAATCAAATCCGACGTTTTCGTTTTATAATTTCGAAATGTAGTTGTTGCGCAAGCGGACAGCCTCCAATTTCTTCACAAAATACAGGGTAAACGATAACAATATACTTAAATGTATGTATATTTATTTACTGATAAAGAAGACGTACCTATTACCTATATCTAATAAATAATACATGCCTAGTTAGAATACGATGAAATAATAAGAATAAATCCGATAAAGAAATGAGAAAAAAAAAAATAAAGAAAACATAGACACTCTCTTGAATATTTTCCCTTCGTAAGTACGAGGTGTTGCTAATAATAATAATAATAATTGATATTATTATTATGATACGAAATGTTGTCTAATTAAGAGAACTCGTTTCGAAAATACTGTATAAAAACATGTAGTTATATTATGAAATTAGATATTTGATATATAGTTAGGCCTAGTTTTTGATGATGTTAAAATAAAAATCAATAAAGCTTTGTGAAAAATACCGTTGTCATGTATTACAACAAAACTCAAACTCCAAAGGGTGAGCCAATTCGTTATGGATTTTGAGTTCCATATAATCCAAAACCCCTTCAGGTCCATGAAAATGTAATTATGAAACCACAAGTACCTACTCTCACAAACAGTTAACTCAAAACAGTAGGAAAAGTAACGAATGTTTACTCTCTTCTTACGTACCTATGGTATTTTTCATCACCCTTGGCAAGGATGCGAAATTTGTTTGGGTCATGTTCATAAAATCTACAACGATGGGGCTAGGGTTGTCAACCGTCACTGTTGTGCAATTTAGACGATGTCTTACATTTGAGATTTGTTATCCTTTGTCCTGTGCATGACGTAAAATGTTCTGAACTTTACTACACAGAATAAGAACACTAAAAAGCTGAAACCCCGACGCCAAAACACAACAGTGAACGTCCGGACGACTTTTCAATAGTTCAGTGTCATGTTTTGGCGTTGAAGTTTGGTCTTTTTAGTGTTTTCACTCCGAGTGGCAAAGTTCAGGACATTTTGAACAGGATAACGGATAGATCTCAAATGTAGGATATCCTCCAAAATGTACGATCAATTGTCAATTATAAAATTTAGATTTTCCGATAAAATTCAGGACACTCGAAAGAAATTCTATTTTTTCAACAACTTTTGTTAGGACGTTCAATGTCGTGTTTTAGCGTTGTTGAGTTTTGAGCTATTCAGTGTTCTTTAACGCCGCCTAAGTTTTCTAGTCTTCTAGATTCACATAGAGTAACCATAAACAATTACATAAACAGTTGCGCTTGTCTAAAATCTTTATATTTTATGAATAAAAATAGAATTTCTTTCCAGTATCCTACATTTTATCCTCCTCGTCCTGAAAATCTAAACATTACAACTAGCAACCGTAGGTGTAACTCACCCTTGGCTCATCTAAAAAAATGTAGCTGTCTACATCTCTGACTTTTTAACCTTAATTAGATGCAAGCAAAAATACAAGCTGCCGAATACTAATCATGGCCTAGATCCTAGATGATCAGCGTATCACCTAAATGACTTCTTCCCAATTACTTCGTTGGTGTCATGGTATCGTCTCCACACATACAGACGCATCATACACTTACATGTATATACACATTTCGAATTATAAATTCAAGCAGGTTGTAAAGTTTGCTGCTACAAGCTCCAGACACATCTATCTTTAATTTTTTACCATCACTGTCAATGTAGAAGGAATCGACAGCTACACATATCTCATACTTAAAAGTCAGGTTTTTGCCATTTGCCAAAGGTTCATTTCAGAAAAGGTACCGACGAAAATATTATCGTTACTTTAATATTATGTACCAACAAACCGAGTGATAAAACAGACGAAACTTTTTCGTTTTCAAATCATCAAAAAATGTAACTGATGCATGTACGAACCAGTCAGTCAAACGGATTCGTTTCGATGGTCTCCAAAACAATATACAGAGTGTCTTAAAAGATCTCTCTTGCTCTCTCGCAATAAATTAATTCCATAGCAAGTTCTTTCTCTATTTGAAAACACCTCTTACTTTGCGTAGTTCTTGCATACGGGAGAATTACGCTATTTTAAAAATCTAAAATTTTCCTTTTTCATAGTGTTTTCATTTCAAACAAGAGCTGTACTTTGTATTTTATGATACCTTTTCTGATAAGTAATAATTAAATTGCCTAATGTTTATGATAGACTGTATTTGCCTTTTAATGTTGACTCCCCCCACCCTTGGGTAAAAATGTTTGGTCACGGGCCAGCAAAGCGTCCAAGAGCTTTTGGATTTTACATCAATTTTATCAGTCAATCAACCAAAATCATGGTATTATCTCCTTCAATGACTATAAATTATAAATAACTTACGAATTGCGAGCCGTTTCTAGATTGAAGATTGAAGTAATCAAGTAGCCACCAAATAATGAAGAAGTAAAGTCTATTAATTTCGCTATTAAACCGGCAAATAGTAACACAAATACACGACACTCCCGTTCGCGTTGCCCGTAAACAACTGAAGAGGTTTTTGCCCATTTATCTGGATGTGAACTTTTTATAAATATCTATTATACCAATCTCATGCCAGACCAGAGGAGAACAAATATGATAACAACAACACGTTGTCGAGCCTGTCTCTTTTCCACGCATGCGAAAATACGAAAGAATTGTACTTGACTTACCCAACACTGTGATGTTTTTATGATTTGTGAATTTGTGAAATGACTCATGACTTGATATTTTTAAGGGTTTTTATAAGTTGGGAATTCTATAGCAAAAACTTCTTCATCCAAACTTGAAAACTATTAATAATGTTAGTAGAAGTAATTTGTTCATATATGATATGTTTTTATAAACGGAAGAGGATCGAGTTACATCAGCCAGGTGGTCACTTTGACCTTTCCTTTTACTTTGGTTATGCACAATACACGTGTACGCACACACATAAATATTGTACAGGGTAATTTGACATTATTTACGTACCTACATCTTTCCATGTGTTGTCCACTGATTTCGCTCTGTATGTAACGGTGTTAGTGCAATTATAAATTTATATTAAGTGAGTGTCATCCTCGAACCCAAACGGAGGATTCCTATAATTGTATACTAAAAGATTCAGGATGCGCGCTTTTTATTTTCCCGAATATTTTATTCGTTTTATTTTGTTGTGCCTCGTACTCTATTGATAATGTTATTCTTTCCAGAAGCACGAAATTTAAAAGAAAAGTAATGGTCTACATGTGACAAAACTAGTTGATTTATACCGAAAAACAAGATGTCGCAATCCCACTATTCGCTAAGATGGAACAATCATCAGGCGCACATACTGTCGGCATTTGACGCTTTGCTCCAAGCCGAAACTCTTGTAGATGTGACACTGGTTTGCGCAGAAACGTCCGTGAGAGCACACAAAGTCGTGTTGAGCGCTTGCTCCCCATTTTTCCAGAGGGTTTTCTCCGAGAATCCTTGCAAGCATCCTGTCATAGTCCTGAAGGATTTTAGCGGATGGGAGGTCCAAGCCATCGTAGATTTTATGTACAAAGGTGAGATCAGTGTTGTCCAAGAGCAACTGCAGAGCCTGATCAAGGCTGCCGAGAGTTTACAAGTCAGGGGACTTGCTCAACAAGATCAGTTCGCCGTTGATAAGGATTCCAGTGCAATCACAAATCACATGCCGACGCCCTCGACCTCGCCGAACGATTACGACAGGAATTTTTATCCCACGGGAAGGTTCCCGACTCCGGGAACTACAGTCAAAACTCCCGGGGAACGTTCGTCGCCCTTTTCGCCTCTGCCAGGTCCGAATTTCGAACCGCCGTTGAAATTACCTCACATGTCGCATTTATCGTTTCCCGAAGCCCTTTTGCCGCGTCCGGATTGTCAATCGCCGATCCCCAGAAGGAAACAGGCGAGGCCCAGGAGAAGATCGGGAGAAATGTGCGGAGCCCAGGATCTTAGTACCACGGCACCTAAAGTACCCTCGTCGCCGGTCGAAGAGACGGCAGAGAATTTGTGCATGAAAAAACATACCAAAGAAAGCGATAAGCCCAAGGAGATGCTCAAAGTAAAAAAGTTAGAATCCAGAACTCCCGAACCCGAACTGACGAATCAACACGAGAAAGACTACAGTTCTTCTTCGCCCATGAGCTTGCCACCTATGCTGAGTATGCCTCAACATGACTTGGACAATCATTCACCTTTAGCCTTTCCTCCCATGCCTTCTGTTTCAGCACTTGCTATGACACCTCCTCATACGAAATGTAAGCTTTTATTATACGCTTAGATGAGACAATTTTAACTTTAATAATGACCCAAAGGAAAACTGATCGCGGTACATGCACAGTTTTGTAGCGGTTTCTCTGGAAGGAACAATATTTTTTAAAACCTATCATAATTCTTAAGGAACAACTTCAGGTTCAGGTCGGGAACTTTCGGAAATTTTAATAAAGCGACAGTACCTGTCTCAAAATTTCGAGTGTTCATTACTTATTGTACTGCCATCAGTTTTCGTTTGGAGATTTATTTACTGAACACCGTGTATATTTATGTCCAAACTTACTTAGTGTACTATTGTTTTTTTTTTTCAGTTTTTGGATTAGATTCACCTTTGGGTCTCTTTCCTCCGGGACTAGAGGGTTGTAGGAATCCCCTGTTGGAGATGGCCGACCCACGAAACACCCCTGAGTCACAACTGTTTACCAAAAAGAAAAGTAAGCGATTATTTTTGTAAAATTCTCCTTTAGTGATCTAGAAATAATGATAAATAATTTTTCTGTAGTGGGTAGGCCAAAAGGTCAACATTCGGCTCCTCGAGGAGGTCCTCCGCGATCTTGGACAAACGCGGAACTGACAGAAGCGCTTCAACACGTATGGAACAAGAAAATGACCACTAGTCAGGCTTCCAGAATTTTTGGCATTCCCTACAACTCGCTCCTCATGTACGTAAGAGGGAAATATGGGAAAAGCCTCAAATTAGAACAGCTCAGAAAAGACTGTATAGGTGCGTGTTTTATTTTGGACGATTGGAATTATCTATTACTCTTTTCTTTTTTATTAACTTACAGGTAATCCAACACCTGATTTTCTTCACATTGGAGGAAACAACAACAACAACACTTGCAAAAACGAGCAAAGGGAACCGGATCCGATCCAGCCGAACACAAGACCTTCTAGTAGAGAGGACCTTTCGAATCCCCCTCCCGTGTTTAATCCTTTCGCGCCCAGTTTTTATCCTGATTTCGGCACGTTTCCCATTCCCGTGAGCATGATCCACTTACTGCCACAAAGCGAAAAGAACCGGGACCACTACGGTCAACAGCATCATCCTCTGGACGACGATCCAAAAACGGATCGGAACAAGGACCTCAGCGACGAGCATCAGGACCTTTTCAAGCCGCCAGCGATATCTCGCGACGAAAGGCGCGAACTTGTGCAACAGAACGGGCAAGACTAAGATTCGTTGTGTCGCATACTTAGTTTACGATGTGTATTGTAATAGTGGTTGTAGCGTGGTACAGGATTGCATCCTTAGAGGACGTGAATGATCCACAGGACGCTGATTTTGTCATCAAAATCATTAGGACGTGCAATTTAAATGTGAAATTGATTATTATATCCTCAAAAATGAACAGAATACAGGGTATACAATGATATACTTGGAAGCAAAGCGATTGACCCGATTTCTTGTAAGAATTAAATGAAAAATATATTTATACGAATAGATTTGCAAAATTATGCTATTAAATGTAAATAATTACATATAACACAACCCAGACGTCATCGTGGATTGTTCGACGTTCGTCTATTGATAAAAACAAAATAAAATGAAAATGCAAACCCGTGCTGAGTAAGTCTGCATCACTGTGATTGGTTGTTGGTGCGTCCGCGTTAAGGACGCATGCGTCCAATGTTTTTCATAGGGGCAATATTAGTTCTAGTATCTACCTATCGTGAATAAAAAAATAATAGAAAGTAATACGTGAAAAAGTCCGACTTGTGGTCACAAGACCGTTGGTTGCAATCAATTCGTTTCGCTAAATTTTTTATTACGCATTCAGTAATTCCGAGACTTTGGATTCGATCTTTCTGTGATACGCGTAGGTCACAGTCAGTGTGTTTGTGCTTCCTTATTTTCCTATCGGGACAAACACGCCACTTTTTATACCGTAATAATAGGTACCTACATAATTATTAACAGGAACCGCGCAATAGTGAGAAAAATTAAATATTTCATATTTAGAGCCAAGCCATCCTATAGCAGTTTAGCTCGATTATTTTTCAGTTTTAATAAGGGTTGTTAATTATACGAAGTGGTGTGCAAGTCCTGGGGGGTGTGTGTTTAATTATCTAGAACAAGAGACCGGCTATAGGACGTCAAAATTCGTTTTTTATTTTTCGATAAAGCATTGGGCTTATCTAAATGCACTTAAAAAGTCTTAAAGCTGGACAAATATATATTTATAAATATATATAAGACTGATTGATCCACATTGCCAACGTTCCGACAGTTAAATGTTACAATGGCTACTAATTTATTATTTTCTACTACAGCTACTACAGTTCCTCAAAATATTTTAGTATACCAGTTTTACAGATTTCTACCAAATGTATACATCATAATTAAATACATACATAAACAGTGTTATTATACATCATCTTTTGTTCTTGTTTTACGCCTAAAGAGGCGCACCCTTGTTCTAAAAAAGGCGCGATAAATAGACTAATAGAGTGGGGTTGGGGGGGGGGCATATCATCGAGTATGTGAGAAGGAGTGAGAGAGAGAGAAAGAGAGAGAGAGCGAATGAATGGGAAGGCGCCTTTTTTGAAAAACGATGCGACTGTTATATATGTTAACGACTCAACCAGATTTCTGCGATATTAGTACAGTAATTTTTACAACCGTTTGTACAGTTGATAATATATTATAATACATATATACATAAAACCTACAATTTTATTTTTACAGAAAGAGAAGGTTGCACTGATACTATTTTACAGTTGCCGATGTTTGTTTCTACAATTATTATTAATGCTCCGTTAAACGAATAATAAAATGTTTTTCTT